TATTATTATTATTATTATTGTTATTATTATTATTATTATTATCATCTACAGTATTTTTTTTAAATTTTTTATTTATTTATTTAAAAATTAAAACATCAACCTGTTTGCTAGATGGGAAGGGGCGCGACTCGCATTTCACCTTATGGTGAGTACCCATTTCACTGCTCTGTTTTAGGTTTCAGGTTTTCCAGACTGCGTTTGAAAGTTCTGAGTGATTCACTGTCGACAACATGCTGGGGAAGACTATTCAAGAGATGGATGCTGTCCAGGAAGAAGGATTTAAGGTAAATTTGAGTTCTTGCAAATGGTACCAGGAACTTGCAGTAATAACCACGCAAGTTTACACCTGATGGAGTCAGGCACGTGCGGGATACATTGACGAGACCATTTACTATGCGTTACATCATGTTAACTATAGTCTGGGCCCTCCTTTCTTGAAGTGGGGACCATTGAAGATCGTTTAGCATTGATATTACGCTGCTTGTTCGACGATAATCACCACAGACGAATCGGGAATACTAAGAACAGGACAGGAACAAAGACCACTGCCTTGGGGTATTCCGATTTCAATATTCATTTTTCTTGATTTTTTGTCTCCATATTTAACTACTTGCTTCCTTTTACTGAGGTAGCTTTTAAAGCATTTGATTTGTCGTAATTTACGGTAAAACATTTTGATATATCCAAAATCAAGTTCCAATAAATTCATGATCATGAGTCAATCCAGTCGGCAATCGCTTTGTGTAAACAGGTATATGTTGGTTGGTCTTTTCTGTGTTGGTCAATTTTATTTATCAAATTGTACTTAATTAAATAATCAGTTAGTTGATTCTGTACTACTCTTTCTAATACTTTTGACACATGTCAAACTACTGATATATAATTGGTCTATACTATTAATCCGTCTTTGTAACCTTTCCCTTTATACACTGGGGTAGTTCTCGCTATCTTCCAATCCTCTGGAATCTCTCAATTCATTAACGACATATTATATATCTAATATAGTGAATCTGATTTTTTATTTATTTACTTATTTAAAACCATATTTTGAGTGGGCGACCCTTACAGAATAAATCTGATGTTCAGAGGTCTATTAAAATACAAAAATACAAAAAGTATGTAAAAATATATAGGCCTACATACAGCAAACATTAAAATACAAAACATAAAAAATAAAATAAGGAAAGAAAGCAAACGAAGGAAAACAGACAAAACAGACAATATAAAAACAAACACACACACACAAACACACACACACAAACTCGAACCCACACAGGAAAAAACCTAAAAAAAAAAGAGGAACATAAATTCTTGTTTAAAATGGGCTGCTTGATGTTGCTTTTAAAGCTGTTGTATGCAAGTATAGTGGTGATGGTAAGTGAGAGAGTATTCTAGAATCATGGAGCTTGGTAACTGAAAGATGACTTGAATGAATGGAGTTTGGGTGTGGAATATTGAGATTACCAGCGGCAACAACGGATCTGGTGCGCATGTGCCTTTGCTGTCTGATATCCAGTTGTAGTACCATATAGTCTTGAGCCAGTCCCCTCAAAGATTTAGGTATAAAGGAGAGACATGCTATTCATAACATTTATTGGTTCAAATAATGAAGCGGATGGTGTTCGAGGTGGTACATTATGTATGACTCGGATTGCACGATTTTGAAATTTCTGTATTTTAACAATAATATCTTTGGTGCGTGGACACTAAACAGAAGTGCAATAATCAATATGAGGTAAAATTAAAGTATTATAAATTAGAAGTGCAGTGTTTTTATTTTAAGAAATGTATGTGCTCAAGAAAGTGCCAAAGTTTTGTAAGCAATGGAGGAGAAATTACGTGAATGTGATTTCCATGTTAGGTTGTTGTCAACAGTGATCCCGAGGTGTTTGTGGATATTGACCTGTAGGAAGGTGTTATCAATAGAAACACATATACATATACGCAGATCGTCTAATGGAGATCTTCCGATCAGTATTAAAACGTAACAGTGCATACGAACATGGTCTAATAAGCAACAATTGAAAGTTATTTTATCATTTGTATATGAGCTATTAACAATTTAATTGTATTTTTGACATTTTCTCTCGTTTGTTTGGGAATACAGTTGTGGTATTGAGAAGATGATTAGAATTTTAAGTTACCGTCGATTGTGGTAAATAAATATAAGCCTACATAATCAATTTGCGAATCGGACCAGTGAAAATCTCATGGCCTTACTTTACGAAAAGGACCTGTCTCAAAAATGGTCGAATGCGTTCCATTTATATAAGATCTATTTCTATTATTAAAAAAAAAAAAGTCAATTTTACGGATCTAACTGGCTATCATACCTGTGCGGATGTTCTCCCCCACCCCCTAAATTGTATTAATAAAAATAACTGTTGTATTAATATCGTTGAGATGAATTATCGGTAAAACGTTTAAGGTATGAGAGTGCAAATTCCGGGCACCTAGAAATACATACTCTCAAAATGTTCACACCTCAGCCCCAGCCATAGTGGGGCTGAAGGGGAACTGTCACCTCTCACGCACCCCCTACCGCCAAATCCTGCATCCACCCCAGTATAGGTAAAATATTTAGAAAATAATTGTTTTACCTTATACCAATGATTTCGTATTTCAGTAAGGATAGACAACTTGTAACATCTGTTTTCATTTTTAACCACTCAAGTGAGTTAATAAAGCAATCTTGAAGTAATATGAAAATGACCTATCAGCAACAATAAAATGAATCAACAGGAACATCAGTATTATGCTGTAAATTTAATTAGGTATAATATTATCTGATTGGTTCTCCTGTTGATTTATATATAGGCATATATTTATATAGTAAAGTGTCTCTGTGAGTGGAGCAAAGAAGGTTGTATTGCTTATCCGTCCAAGGTGCAGAGTCGTAAAAATTGATAAATAAAATAACAAAGTCATCATCACCAAATAAACAATGAAAATTAAGTTCAGATTTAATAAAAACGCAAAGGGGTCCTCTGCAGTTACATGTATAATGTTCGAGCTGAAATCTTAAATCATTGATCAAAATGGTTGTAATTAAAAAGCAAACCACTGTATAGGCTCAATGATGAGGCGGAGGACCGAAGTGAATTCTTAATTTATCTTTAAGGACCACATGCAAAATGTGAAAATTTGTCGTTTCAAGTGTGTTTGTTGTATAAATACTTTGTGCTCAGTTTATTGTTACTTTTTACAGACGACTTTTTCTTCAAAAGGGCTTTAAACTACAAAGGCGCATCGTACACGACGATTGACCCGTATAGCAGTCCACCCCTGTTGGCCTAACTTTACAGAAGGGTTCTGTCTAACCATGGACCTAAAAATAAGTCTAACAAATGGTCGGCTGTGTTCCTTTCAGATGCAATGAACATGATACATCTTCATATCTATTTCTATTATTATTCAATAACGTAATAAAGGCAAATACATTTTACTTACCTAACTAGCTATTATAGGTAAATACAACTTAGAGGATAACAGTTTTACGACGAGACATGGGGCATAAAGCCAAAAGACGCGTTGGAATGCATCCGAAATATGACAATATCGAAGAAAATAATGGCAAATCGCAAATAAAATGAACTTTTCAAGTTTTGAAATTGATAAACTCAATGTATTAAGTGATTTTGAAACCACACTGTATTTTTTAACAGACCGCATCATCATTAAATAGCGAAATGTTGAAAACAATTTCCCAAACATTGTTTTTTTTAAATATTTATTAAAAATGATACATAAAAATCGTAAAATGTACAATGATTTGGGAATTGACAAAACATTTCTAACATACAATAATCGTAAGATAATTAGAATATTACAATTGGTCAGGATTTTGTGTTTCTTTCAGGTCATTCCATTCATAAAGAAGAAGTCAAACACTCATCTTTGTGCAATTTTCTCTATGATTCAACACACACTGATAAGGCATTTGGCGTCAGTTTGGCATATTGTTCCATATTTTCTCCAGGAATTAGAGTTTCTCCTTGAATTCTCCAGGATATTTAACAAAGATGTCTTATATAAATTAAAATCGTATAAATAAAAATATTCGGCAATTGTCGTTATTTTAATTGTATTACAGTACATTTAAAATATTCCAGAGCATATTTATTTATTTATTGAACATCTTTATACAGGATAACATATCTGGAATGTGTTTAATAGCCTGTTACAATGGTCCTGTTTTGTGATACAAAATTATGAGTATAGAAATCAACAAGTTGCATAATATTAAAATTGAAAATAGACTTAATTTCAAATGATTATAAATAAAAATCTTAATCTAAAAGATAAAATCACAAGATAAGGTAATAAAATTAAAGATATAAGCTATTTTCCAAAATTAAAACACTAAAATTAAGTACAGTAGTTAATGTTAAAAGGTGAGTCAAATAGTGATGAAGTTAGGCCTATCATAAAATTGATAAAACTAAATGCAAGTATTTTAAGTGGTATTTTAATTTAGATTGTATTAATTATATTTTTATAGTTTGGAGTTAGGTGGTCTACACTCCATCTGTAAAAGTACTTCCTTCGCCCCCCCCCCCTCTCTTTGGAATTCCTGGACTCACCACTGTATTTGGAAAATGTAGTGTGAAAATGAACTTTAATTGCATTCCTTAAAAGTAATTACATACAACTATATAGACGCCAGAGATTCCGGGGGATCCACACTCGGCCCTCACCCGGGGCCCTTACCGGGGGGGGGGGGACAGTCGACGTGTGGGGAGTGGCGCGATAGTTGCGTAAGAATTTGTATAGTTCTTTTTTCCATGATTTACCTTCCACTTGGGCGCATTTGCACACCTTGCCAATTGTTTTCATGAATCGCTCCGCACATCCATTGGCCTCTGGCCAACATGGAGTTATTCTTTGGTGTTTACCTAGACCACGCGCAAAAGCTTTAAATTCGTCTCCATTGAATGGTGGGCCGTTATCAGTTTTGAACTTGTCCGGTATTCTCGCGATGAAAATAGTTTATCTAATACCGGAATGACAGTCTTTGCTGCAAGTGACCTAATTATTTCGACCTCCGGAAATCTGGAGTACTCATCTATGACTACAAGAAGGTGTTCCCCGGATGGCAATGGGCCATAAAAATCAGCCGCTAAGTGAGACCACTTTGAATCCGGCAATTGTGTCATTTTCAACGGTTCAGGCGGTTTTGCATCATATGTGCTAAGGCACGGAATACAAGAATCACACAAGCTTGCTACCATACTGTCAATATTCGGAAACCAAACCTTTTCTCGGAGTAGCGTTTTTGTCTTTACCTGGCCTTGGTGACCTTCATGCGCGAGATTAATGACACGAGTTCTTAATTCATTAGGTATTATTACCTTAGTTCCTTTCAAGATTAGTCCGTTATTAGATACTGTTAACTCGGTTGCAATTTTACGGAATGCCAACATTTCATCAATATTTACCGTTTTTGATCTTGCAAATTTTACTTTGATTAAGTGCCACTGCTGTGATTAACTCTATAAGATACTGCAATGTGGCATCCTCTTTGGTTGCTGGTTTCAATTCATCTAATGTCACCGCTTTAGGAATACTGTAGGTCTCTATGAAATTTATATATTCTTCAGAGACAAGATCTTCGCGAGAGCTGGTTTCTATGGATACCGGGTGACGCGATAGATAATCCGCAGGATTATCTTTACCCTTCCTAAATACAATCGAGGTATTGTATGGGAGTAGCCTTAACGCCCAACGTTCTAATCTCAACGGAAGACTGGCATTGGCATTGCCAAACAAAGTAACTAACGGCTTGTGGTCTGTGACCACAGTTATGGGTGCGCCATAAATATATACATGAAAATGCTCGCACGCCCAGATAATGGCCAACGCTTCACGCTCCAGCTGACTTTTGTATCTTTGTTTAACTGCTGTGAGCGCGCGAGTACCATAGCTAACAATGCGCGGTATACGCTTACCATCGTCGCTCGTATAATATTGTACCAGCATCGCTCCTAACCCGACAGGGGAGGCATCAACAATTAATTCTGTCTCTTGATGCACATTGAAATATGCCATCACAGGCGCATTTGCTGAGGCTTGCTTTAATGTTTCGAAAGCTAATGTATGTTCTTTGCCCCAAATAAAGTCAACTCCTTTTTGTGTTAATTGCCTCAATGGTTCTGTAATTGTTGAATATTTTTTTATGAACCGAGAGCAATAATTAGTCATACCTAGAAAGCTTTGGATCTCTGTAACGTTGCTAGGCTCGTTCATGTCTGTTACCGCCTTTACTTTCTTTGGGTCTACTTCAACACCGTGTTTCGAAAATATTAATCCAAAAAATTCCAGGCGATCTTTGTTGAATTCACATTTCGCCAAATTTGCTGTTAGGCCACTACTGTTTAAACGTGTTAGCACCTCATGTAAATATTTGTCGTGAATTTCTGTATTGGGACCAAATATAAAAATATCATCTGATATGTTGATTGCCCCTTCGATGTCGGAAATAACTTCCTAAACTATATGCTGAAACTTTTCGCTGGCACAACAGATACCGAAATTTAGTCGTTTATATCTCCATAAGCCATTATGTGTGGAGAAAGTAGTAATGTAGCGCGATTCCTCGGCTAGCGGAAGTTGGTAGTAACCAGACTTTAGATCTATCTTACTGAATATAGTGGACCCATTCACTTTTGCAATTATATCATCAATCGTAGGACTTGGGTGTCTTTCCCTGATAATTGCCTTATTAGGTTGTCGCATGTCTACGCAAATTCTAATTTCATCCGGGTTTCTGGGTTTTTGGCACCACCACTATTAGACTAACCCAAGGGGTAGGCCCTTTTACTCGTTCAATAATACCCTGGTCTTCCAATTTACGTAACTCCTTCAGTTTTTCTCTACTTTTTCCCTCATATGGAAAGGGATTCTCCTGTGTGGCTGTGCCCTGGGTGGGACAGACTCATCTATGTGTATTTTAACTGATATGTCTTTATCTCCCCTATACCCCCTGCGAACACATTAGGGAATATCTTACTTAGCTTACCCCCTACATCACTCTCTATCTTGTTAACATCATGGTTAATAGAGATCAACATTAAATCAATAGATGTCTTAAACCCAAGTAAGTTACCTCCATTACCTTCTGCAACAAAGAACTTAGTAGAACGTGGACAATTATTGTTAACAGATGAAATTTCATCATTAAATTAACCAAGAATGTTTACCTTAGTACCTCCATATGCAATTAACATAGTCTTACTAGGCACTAACTTTGCTCCCTTAGCAAGGTATTTACAATATGTCACATTATCTATAATATTTGACGTAGCCCCTGTATCTGCCATCATAGGCAGTGAACTGTTACATGATTTAAAATATATTTGAAAAATTGGCTTTTTCATAATATCACTGCTAACAGCATGAATACATACATTTTCTTTAAGGGTAGTTTTATCATCAGTTAACTCATGGAGACTAGCTATAGTGAAAACATACTCATCATCAAATGATGTATCTACATTTACTGGATTATTAACATCTTCCACAGCATTACAAATGCCTGTACCTTTTTTGTATTTAAGTCTACAATAATTCGCAAAGTGTCCAAGTCGTCCACAAACATGACATGGTTTACCATAGGCTGGACACGATTCTTTTGCTCCATGATGAGGGAATGGCTTTCCGCAGTTGTAGCACGTCTTCTTTCCTGCACCAGTAGCAGGCTTGTACCAATTCTTTTGGTGGTGGAACTGATGAGAAGTCCTGTTGTGCATCGACTGTGGTCTCTGCTTTTTATGACGACTGTGATTACGTCTCACGAATTTCACCTCCTCTGACTGTTGCTGTGCGCTGTTTTCCATCTCAGACGTACACAAGCTTGTTAATTCATTGGTCCTTCCTGCTATCAGAAGCTGATCTAACAATCATAGTGTTGTCTCGAAGAGCTGCTTTTTTTAACTTTGAGTCATTGGTGGTTTGTATAATATGACTCTTTAACTCAGCATCCATGTCAGTGAAACTACATTTCGACGCCTGTCTCCTCAACCTGATGTTGTATGCATCAATTTTCTCTCCTCTATATTGTTGCATTTTTCGGAACACTGCTTTTTCATATTCGACATGCACAGTTGGTTTAAAATATGCTTCCAAAGCCGCAACTGCTTGAGCATACGTTGTTCCATTATTTGGCAAGCTAGAAATGTCCGAAAATGTACAGGGCCTATGAAATGTAGGAGCAATGCACGTTTCCTTACATCATTGCTAACGTTCGCCGCCGTAGCATAATTCTTAAAGCGTTCCAACCACGCTTCCCAGCCCGTCGGTGCCTCGTGATCGAAAAATGCGATCGGAGGAACGTCAAATTTTGACGCCATAATTACTGATTTCACTCACCACTTTGGTCTGATCCCTGGTTCTACAGGTATTTTACCTCGTCGCCAGTTTAATATTGTTTATTGATGATTGCAACAAACCATCTGATACTCCAATTCAATCATATCATACCAAATAACGACCCTACAATTAAGTGTCCATTTTATGTGTGTCTTTATTTAGCATATCTTCCAGCTAATCACGCTGGCCGCTCTAGTCACATGATATGATCAATATCGTGACGTAGTCACATCACTACATGAACCAACTGGATACAAGCTCGTCTCCTATCCTAGACCAGAACGAAGAGGTGGAGGTGTAGCAGTCCTCTCGAAGCTTCCCATTTCATCTTCTTTCATTAACGATGTCTCTACTTTTGAGATTTGCGAATCAACTATAAAATTATTACATAAGAAGATCACTCTTCTGACAGTGTATAGACCACCTTCTACCCCCTGTTCACTGTTTTTCTCTAAATTTTCTAATCTTCTTGAGCATTACTGCCTTTGTCCTAACCTTCTCATCACTGGCGATTTCAATATCCATGTTGACGACTTAGGAAATACTCACACCAATACTTTTCTCGATTTACTTGGTTCTTTCAATCTTACACAACTCATCAAGGATTCTACTCACCAACGTGGTCATACACTGGACCTTGTAATCACTAATAACCCTGATCTTTTGATTAGTACATTTATGCATTTCTATCCTATATCGGATCATTTCTTTCTGCATCTCATCTTGAATTCTCGTAAACCAACTGTGGAGAAGAGTTAATTTCTTTTAGGAATCTTAATAATATCGACCTTGATGCACTCCAGCTTGATATCTCCAGGCATCTGGCACATTTTCACGACAACATGAACATAGATGCAGCGATGACTGAGTACAATTCTACTCTGAAATCCATAAGAGATGAGGTGGCTCCATTAAAAACTAAAACTGTCTCAGCTCGAACATCTTCTGAATGGTTTAATGATGCATGCAGAGAAGCCAAACGAAAGAGACGATCTGCTGAGCGTAAATGGTACAAATCGAAAGGCCAAAATGATCTCATAAAATACAAAAATCAATGTTCTAAATACAATTAAGTACTTGATGAAGCCAGAACCAACTACATACAGGTGCGGGTTAATGAATGTGGCAATGACCAGCGTCGTTTGTTTAATCTGGCCAGGAAGCTGTTAGGTAAACGCTGCAGTGTAATATTCCCATTATCAGATAATAAACTACTGTTCAAAATTACAATTTTTTTCCTTGAGAAAGTCAAACTCATTCATGATAAAATCAATCAAGCACAAGCATCCATCAACCCTCAAATAATCCACCCTATTTTAAAATCTGCTAATACGACGAGATTTGACTCTTTTTATTTGGTCACAGATGATGATGTTAAAAAACTCATTCTGAATCTTTTTCCTAAATCCTGTGATCTTGATCCCTTTCCGACTAAACTGCTGGTGCGCCTCGCTCGTTTATTCCTGTTGTAAGGTCCATCATAAACTCATCTCTTTCCTCTGGTTGTTTTCCAAATGTTCTAAAATTTGGTTTGGTCACACCAACTTTAAAGAAACCTACTCTGGATCTAAATGTCTTTTCCAATTATCGACCTATAACGAATATCCCATTTATTTCGAAGGTTATTGTCGTCAGCGTACATTTCAGTGATAGAATAGTGATACATATGCTGATGAAATTTTTAACAGTTAATGAATATGAAAAAGAGACGAGAAAGCTAACCCATGAACTATCCTCAAACGCATCAGAAACAATTTCAAAGAATAATATTTAAAACGAACCAGAACACCTCAACCTTCTCAATCAATTTGAGACACACGTGGAACAGTACTCACAAGTGCTCTAGTAATACTCCATGGTAACTAATCTAGCCTTCTGAAGTTGCATGTATATCATTGAAGCTGAAATCTTTAATAATTGATCCAAATATTTGTAATTTATTGAAAAACACTCTACATTCTCGAACACAGGGTGGGCTTAAAAATGGGTCGGAGTACCGAAGTATATTTTTAACGTAACACTTAGGACCACATGGAAAATTTGTCGTGTCTGCCTGTCAACAAGGTAATTCAACAAAAGGACGCACATCTCCGCTCTCGAACATAGCGCGTACGTACAGTCCTTTGATCTTTACTGTGGCATCGACAATCCGATACTAGTTGGGAGTACAGCCGTCAATTATTAGTCTATGCGTGCCATTCGTTTTATGGTGTTAGTTTTTATTTTATTAATTTTGCGTACTTCGCAATGTCTGTTACATTTGATTTTTTTTTACCGCGAGCTTGTTAAATGCTTCTATAAACTGCAATTTGATTTGTGAAAATTGACCAAGAAAATGAAATATAGGCTATGTATATGTGTATGTATTTGTAGGCCTATTATGTATATGTGTGTATTGTAATGTAGTATTAAGGTTCAATGGTATTAACTTTCATAACGATTCCAATGGTTATGAAAGTCAATGGTATTAACTTTCATAACCATTGGAATCGATACCCTTCACCTGATAAATGCCTTAAATTGGTTTGACAGTTTTAATGGTCAACTTGAGTATACACATAATCTAATAATATAACTGGACATTGTATAACTTTACCCTAGTCAGTTTGACTTGGCCTTTCTCACACTATGAATCTATGATTGTCTTGAGCCTAAGCTCTGCAGTTTGTGATACATCTTAATTAACAGTTTTTTGGTAAACAAGTTAATAAATCATAGAGAAAGACTTTCTCTATGATCCAATCACAAACTCTAAAAGTATGGGGTGACTTACTTGAGACACACCCCCATTACCTAAAGTAAAATAGGCAAACACCACCATATCACTGATTCAGTAGTCAGTAGTCAGTAGTTAGATTCAATTTAGTAGTTAGGAGTACACAGAAGAAAAGTAGAGAGCTGGGCTGACTCCACTCAAAAAGGGTTCTCTAACATCTGAAACCTGGAGTTTAGCTGATTGTAACCAACGTACAGTTTGTGTGAATAAAAGTTTGCAGTGTACTAAAAGGAACTGTGTTATACTACTCATTAAAAGTCACCCAACAACTAACCGATATTTAACAGTATATGTAAGTTTCATTCATGTCAACTGACTGGTTTTTGAAATATCCGGTGTGGACTGAGTTGACTTGGTCCTCACACGCACACCCCACCATAGATTGACACTAAATATTAGGAGGCACATCCTTGATATTTGGCCTATGCTTCGGCAAAGCAAATACTTCTAAGCATGGGAAGTGACTAAAATGACGGCCAAAATAAAACAGTGCAAAAATATATGCAAAATATAATGCAACAAAAACAATGGCTTTTCCCAGTACTGCTGCGAAAAGCCAAATATTCTGGATACAATAATTTACCTGCTAAGCCTTCTTAAAGCTGTAGCTGATTATATAGCAGAACCTTTGTTTTTTCTTTAATTTATCCTTTACACAGTGCAAGTTTTCTGCAGCATAACACGTAGCAGGGTAACACCATATAAAAAAGAGTCAAAGGTAGTTTTTTTTTTCAATTATCGCCTAATTGTTTTATTACATAAAACATTATAAACAACAGATTAATGAATTTCTTTAAAATTTTAATATATTTTACAAACACCAATATGGTTTCCGTGAAAAACACAGTGCAAAATTATCTTTAATTAAATTTAATAATTACTTCATCAGCAAATTGATAAAGAAACTCGACGAGTGGAATATTTAGATTTTACTAAGCCCTTTGACACCATTAACCACATTATTCTACTCTCTAAACTCAAACATTATGGCGTTAGAGGAAATCCATTGCTCTGGCTTTTAGATTATTAAAGTCACAGTTCGTAATTAGTGTCCGTAAATGGAGTCGCCTCTGATGAAGCCCCTGTGACCTGTGGAGTACCGTAAGGGTCAACACTTGGTCAAACATTGTTCTTAATTTACATCGGATTTACCGAATTCATCTAAATATTTTGATTTCCGATTATTTGCAGATGATTTAAAATTATTTCATAATTTTTCAAAAGAATTAAGCACTAAAAATCTGCCTTTAGTTGATTATCAGTTTAAGAAAATTATTGATTGGTGGTATACAAACAAGGTAACAATAAACGTAAATAAAACTAATTTTATTACTTTTCATGGAAAAGGTAAACATATTTCTTTGTATTGTTGTTTATGTGTCAAAGGCCATAAGTGAGGTAGATGACAATTTTTTTTTAGATCTACCCTAGACAAGCACTTAACTTGGAAAGCACACATTATAATGAAGTTAATCAAATTATTCGAAAGAAATCTGGAATATTATTTCAACTAAGAAGCTTTGTACTATATTATATTGTAATTTTATTATATAAAGCATTTATACAACGAAATTTCAAATATGGTTTACAAGTCTAGTGTAATACATATTTTTAAAAATTCATACCCTATTTAATTTCCCAGAAGATGCGTTGCATAATATTTTCTAGGTTTAGGAAACCATCATCTCCCAAATTTGCTCAACTGAGCCATTTAGATATTTCAAAACATCATAAGTTTAAGGTAAACTTATTTGTAATTTGATTTATATCATCTTTATTTTTCACATAGTTTAAATGATTATTTTGAAACATTGTCTCATTGTCAAAATACAAGATTTAAGTAGGCCCGATGGTAATAATTTCTACGTAAAGAAAATGAACAGTCACCGGCCAATTGGCAGTGTCATTTGCTGGTTTAAAACCTTTTTATGTAATAGTTTTCTAGCTATTTCAAAATGTGTGAGAAGTCTAATTGTTGTTTCTGATCTGATAGAAAACCGTAAGATGGCAAATTTCTTGAGCTTGATTAAAGTGTGTGTCTTGATATCAGTGACAGCAACTCAAGTCGGTTTTTCTCTCGGTCGTAAGTAGGCCTATTTCTTTTATTTATTTATTTATTTTTTTTTAATTCTAAAAAGTTAAAAAATACAAAAACACATTGATATACAATTAGTATTAAAATGGGGCATATTTTACTTATTTGTGATTACTATTCCTGTCTTCCAACTCGTTCACTGTATTTCAAAAGGCAAACTCAGACAGCGTCGTACGACGCAGCCCGACGCGATTCATCGTCGGGGACAGTCTAAAGACGTCGTGAGAAATATTAAACATGTTTAATAATAATAATATGATGTCGGTCTTATATAGCGCTTCATGCATAAAGCCTCTAAGCGCTTCACGTTACTATCCCGGTCATTGGATCAAACACGTATGGAACACATACTCAGCTCTCTGGGGAGAATTCCATAATAGTGCAGCTAGTAATCAGCGTAGTTGTGTTCGAACCTACCAGATACCCACTTGTACTTCTGGGTGGAGAGAGGCAACCGTAGATAAAGTGCCTTGCCCAATGACACAAACGGTTTGCACAGCGACAGTTTTGAACCCCTGACCTCGAGTCCAAGCCACAACCGATGTGCCAACCGCTTCTAAAGTTCACAGTTCACATTCTACGATGCGACTGCCTTCGACGCAAATCATACAGAACCGACGCGGCAACAAATCGCGTCGGGCTGCGTCGTAAGACACTGTCTGAGTTGGCCTAGAGTATACATATCGTAAAAATAGCAGGTCTTTTTTTTTTAGTTACTATTTAACTCGGTGTTGCCAATTCGAAAGAAAATCGACAATCAACTGCGATCAATATTGATCGCAATTGTATGATCCACAAGGCTAAACAGTGCTTTATCAGGAAGCTAAATTGTTTTAGACGTATTGGCATTTTACAGTTAATAGTTAGATAGTAGAAACACCACACTGAAAGTCCTAGAAGCCTTCCTGTCTTCTGTTACCTTCGACTTACGTTGTTCTGCATTGGGTGTTCTGGTTTACATGCACAGGATATTCCTATTTAATCTACTTTTCTGTGTTTCAATGTAGATGTAAAGAAAAAGGTAAGTTATTTAGTTTAAATTCAATTAGTTAACAATCAAATTATTACTGAAAACTCTTTGAAATTTTGTTATGTATCATTGAGTTTTGATGTCACCTAGTTTTAAACTTTAAAATTCATCTTTGATATTTTACTTTTCCGCACTTTCTATACTGGCTTCTAAGACGAAATGTAAGTTAGTAACCTCAATCAGATCTACAATAAGTGTTATGCATAAGAAAGTATAATACATATTCCAAGTATTGAAATGAGTCCAGTCCGAAATGTAGCAATATCAGAGGTTGCATTTTTTTTGCTATATTTGTTAAAAATTGGATATGATGTAGAGTAGACATTGATAAATCAAAAAAGTATGTGCAACATTTTTTTTTTCATACGTAAGGGGGGTTGCCAGCAGTTTCAAAATGGCCGCTTATACACATCTAGATGTGTATAAGAGACAGGTACTATAAGTTTTGGTGTATCAAAATTCACTCATAACAATGACAACAACAGTTAACTAAATATTGTACACATTTTTGAGCTATTACAATTTAAAATGGCTGCCATTTTCCATTATTTTAGCTTTTTAGCATACATATTAATATATAATAACCGATCTGTACTGTAAAACAAAAACGTGTGATAGAGGTAGTTATATGCAACTGCCATATGCTGTTAATGGTTATTACCATAATATATATGTGATATATATATATATATATATATATAA